GGTCCTTGAAGCAGTCTGTGGGTTTGCTCACAATGCAAAGGTGTGCTTGGCAAAGCGTTTGGTACCACTGTAGCGACAGTGAAGTACTGACCCCCAGTGGTGAGATGCATTTTAAATCAAAGCTGAATATGGTTCATTTTTCTCTCATTTATTCATGTAAGTGTGCAAAAACACTGAGTTTAGAGCGTCATTAAAACAGAAACAATCTAGTTAAGGCAAAGACGACCTTTTCTGCTTCGTGTTCAGATCATTTGATGTTGGGGGCATGACTCACTGCTCGTCCACCTGGACTCACACTGAGCAGCCTCTTCCCAGTTCACCTGTGCAGGAACAGGACTATGAATGATTTACATGCAGGACTTGTTCTGTGTGCCAACCTGGCCAAATCCCCCCCCCAAGGAATTTGGCCAGGCTTTTTTTGCCAATGAGGCAAAAGTGAAGCTTTCAGCATTCTCACAGTTGAAGTCGATGGAGTGTGATGTCTCTGAAGATTAATGAGGGGAGCTTCTGCTGAGCGAGCAAGGCGACAGGAAACACGAGCAGCCGCTGACCGCCACTCTGATCACATGATCAGGAGAGTACTGCATATTCTACGGATCCACCCCACCCACCCAAAAAGTGTCTAAAAAGATAAATCGCAATCCTATTATTTTATTTTTTTTATTGAAATATAATCGACCCCTGAGGCTAGAGAAGAAGGCCACAGATTGTGCCTTGTCTAGCGCCTCAGTCCGACACAGCCAGTTAGAACACAACAGACCTGCCAAAAAACACGTTACACAACTTGTGAAAACTCCTTTTTTGCAAACCAAATGTAAAAGTTTCCACCTTCATTCACTTACAAAGTTTCAGGATGTATAAAACTGAAATCAGTTACATAATTTAAACAGAAGCTCTTCATTTACTCACAATCGCCCTTTCAGGATTCCTCAGGGATTTTGATCAACCCGAGAAAGGCAGCAATCAATAAATGTTTCTGGACAAAAAAAGACAGATACCAGCAGGTAGTTCGCTTCGTTTAGCACGAGCCTCACCAGGAAATTTGAATGTTTCTTGGACCCAGTAAAGCAGAGGTCCTTATGCCTTTTCAGCTCAGGACCAAACAGGTTTTTCATCTTGGTCCAAAATATGAGACTCAAATGTGAAGAATCTCCAAGATAAAAAACAAACAAACACAGTGGGGAGCTTCTTTTTTTTTGTCCAGGTCTGGGACACACTGAGGTAACAGACAGTAATAAATTATTTAATTCCTTATAAAACACACAAGATTCATATCAATAATACAAAATGGTATCAAACACACATGATGCAACATTTTCAACACATTCGGTTTTTCTTCTTTTTTCCTGGAGTCTGTTGCTTCTGTAATAGCTGGAGTCCTTTTCTGGAAACTATGAAGCATCCCTTGAACAGTAAATGTCGATCAGTACTGTCAATGTTGTATTCCTCCTTTTGCAGAGGTCGATTCCCACTTCCACGCTCAGGTGAATTTGTCATTTAATAAATGATTTTCACAGGCAGCCTTCTTAAATTCAAAACTGAATACCAAACAACGTTTTTTTTAAATACCTTTTGAATATTTTTAGTCCCATCCTAGTTTCACTCTGTTACAATCACCACGGAGGCAACAGGCATACACCGTTACAACACCTATCAGCTCGCTTCGTTTTCCCTATTTTTACATTCAGACGTTGTTACC